CATCCATCCATTTTGGTTGGTTTTTAAACCAACTTTTAGGTCCCAGGTTTAGATCTAGTTCTTATAGATGTGCTTTAGCTCCATTTCACCTGATTTTAGTATAAAATCAGCTTCAATTCAGGTTATTTTTTAATTCCGTTTAGTCCTGATTAGATCCCAGATTTGTATCCAGGTTTTAACCCTCACCTGAGCACCGGTTCAGCTCAGGCACTTTGGTTTAAATATGGTTCTGATTTCAGCTCCAGATATGGTTCAGATCTGGAGACAAACTGGCATAGAGCTCAAAGCTACATGGTTGGTTCTGCTTCGTTTAGTTTTCTGGATCCGGATCTCAGTCCTGGTTCTGTTGCAGATCTCAGAGGTAACTTTAGTCCTGATTTAGTGAACGACTTTAGTATCACCAAGGTTCAGTTTGGTCACGTCTGGTCCCGACTATGAACCGGAGATCAACTTTGTTTCCCCCTGATCTCCGCCGCAGTTCTATCCCTGAAAGCGGTACCAACAGGGGTTCTGGACGAGTTCTGACCTCGGAGGCAGCGGTCCACACAGAGCTGAGAAGCAGTTGGTGAGGACGCTTCCATAGCTGTACGGGTTGTAGTTGTCCTTCCCCTCCTTCTTGGACCACGTTCCTTTGATCTAAGGATGAAGATAACAGATCAAATAAACATTGGACCCGAGCAGAACCAGCAGCAATCCTCTGCTGCTGGGTCTGGATCCGGTACTGGGAGCTGCTCTACTCACATCCTCATTGGTGGTTTGGTTGGAGCTGATCAGGTAGGTATGGAAGCCTGACAGGCCCACAATGGACCAGACGGAGAAGAAGCACACCACCACCTCCAGGATGGTGCCGAGCAGAGTCAAGGACGGACCAGGATGATAAAACGGACCAAGGTTCAGAACCAGCAACAAGCAGGACTGATCCCTGATTCTCCACATGGTTTCTGCCAGGATGGAGAGAACCTCTCTGACCTTGGCTGTGCATCACAGGACATATTGAGCTGTAGATGGTGGAGCATCGATTCACCAGAGCCACACGTTATCAGGGAGGGGGGGTATGGGAGCTAATTAATGGCTTGGTTTCTGTGTCAGGTCCCATCTGATAAAGGCTGGACGGTTGTTCTCCTGTTAGTCAACTGAAGCTTTTCAGCTAAATTTGGAGCCGCTTTGATCAAACTGTTTCATTTTTTAAAGATCAAATTTAAACACATTTTGTTTTGTTCTACAAAATATTGACTCTTAAAGCTACAGTGTGTAATAATTACAGGGAT